AAAAAAAACATTGCAGATTGCTGCCTTATTTTATTTTATTTTGTTGGTTTCTTGATGGTATCGTGGGGCAATTGTTGTCCCAATTTTGACTTGTATGATAATCTTGACCAAAAATGGAATCCCCGGTGGCATAATTTTTTGAATCATCAACAAATTAAGAAAGCCAAACGATTTGACAATGCTGGTGCAGCAAAAGGGCCCTCACCAACCCCATCGTCTTTGTCATATTTGGACCAAAATGGGTTCGCTACGATTGGTGCTGCATAAAGTTAAATCTTGCTTTGTTCTGTATTTTCAAATTTTGTCATGGAGAGTTAGGAAGAGGATTATTGGGTCCTAAATCCTAATCTCATGCAATTATATGCTACAGGACCTTTTTGTCTAGTTGTAGTGCTTAATGAGCTAGTGAATATTAATATTCTGTAGAAAAAAAACCTACCAAGTTTGCAGAAACAATTAATTGTGCTGTGTTTTTTTTTTATTAATCTTGAATATTTTGTATTGCAATGTATTTGCAGGTGTTCAGATGAGAAGAACCCTAGAAAACAACCCTACAAGTTCACAAACCAGAAGATCAAGGATCTGGGCATCGAATTCACCCCAGTGAAACAATGCCTGTATGAATCTGTTAAGAGCTTGCAGGAAAAGGGTCACCTTCCAATCCCTAAACAAGCTGAAGACTCTGTGAAAATTCAATAAGGCCTCATGTGTGGTTGTAGTTGTTTGCAAAATACATCCTAGGGAAAAGAATTTAGTAAAGAAGAATGTAGAATGCCAGTGTTACTGTCTTCTAAGACCTCTAATTGTCTTCGCGCTTACATTAATCAATATGTTAATCCCCTAATTAATCAATTATTGGATTTAACTTTTGAGTGTTCCACTTTTTTTTTTTTTTTGAACTCCAAGTCAAGTTGGTTTTGTCAAGTCAATTCATGATCTAGTTGATGCGGTCAAACCAAGTAAGACTCGATAAAATGAATTGTTGCAATATCATAGTTATACAGGTTAATTACCTTAAATATCATAAATATCCTGGTTATACAATTTAATTATCCTAACTTAAATAAATAAGATAATATATAGCAAGTAAATGATCGATTTTATAATAAATATTAATTCAAGTTTTTATACTAGGTGATTCAAATTCAAGAGGGTTTTAGGCTATCTAGGCTATACTATACTAAACAAAAATAAATGATCGATTTTATAATAAATATTTAATTCAAGTTTTTATACTAAGTGATTCAAATTCAAGAGGGTTTTCAAGCTATCTAGGCTATACTATACTAAACAAAACAAATTAATCTAGTTAAATTAAATAAATCCAAAATTTATCACAAGAAAAATCTTGGTTTCAAGTAAATCTCCACCTACAAATATTAAAACTGATTACTGAAATGATATGTCTATTTATATTATGAATATCTATCTTTTCTTAACATTAATCACTTAACCGATCCACAATGTAACTAACCTTAACCATTAAATAACCACAATATGTGCACTAATAATTTAAATTATTGGCAGCCTTAAGAGCTATATAAGTTGATAAATCTTAAACAATATAAGTGTCTGTAATATATTTTTTTTTTATCAAATGTAAAAATATTATAGATAAAAAATACGCCGAGGACTAGCAATACAAGAAAAAGGTGTTGGGAAAACTAGAAACAACCGAACACCAATTTACCCGGATCAATTTAGTAGAATATAATTCACAATTCACAAGTCCCAATTCTTTCTCTCTTTGTACAGTAAAACAGAATCAAACAATACCTCTTCTTCTCTCTTTTCTTCTTCTTCTCTCTTCTATTTTTTAATTCTGCCGCTATAATACCCAAACCATATTAATTTTAATATCAAGAGATAGCCATGTTGTCTCTTGAAAATTAATATAATGATGTCGCCATCACATGAGATGGGACCACATACAGTAAAAGGAAACAAAGTCTCTTGAATAAAACATAAACAAGACAACTTGCCGAACAGAAACAAGAGGGAACAGGCTCCCCTGAACAAACCATAAGCAAGCTTGCAGAAATAGAACAAGCAAAGGGAACAGAATCCCTTAAACAAGCATCAAAAACATATGGTAAGTACATAAAACGTCCATACAGCATCTCTAGGAGACTAAATAGTCTGGACAGTGGGGAGAGAACCTCACCCAAACAGACAAAGCCCCGACAATGCAGCAGACAGCAACATAGCAGCAGCTTCATGTTATGAGGCCAGTCAACAGCAGACCATCCCTGCAGAAGAACCAAAATGGAACACGAGCTAGAAATTGTGGACAAGGGGAGAGATCCTCACCCAAGCACACCCCAAACAATGCCCCGTAGCAGGCAGATCCCTGTACCAGGCAAACAGGAGAAACCATGCACATATCATCACCTGCAGACCAACCCTGCCACACAACAGTGTGCTACTAGGATAGACTCCATCCAACACTCTCCACTGGGATAGTAGAGCAGCGACAGAGAACACTATATCAGTAGCCCAATCATGAGGGGAGAGAGCCTCACCCAAACTGTTGGGATCCATAGCAGCGATCGAGAGAGGACAGCCGAATCAGACTTGCAGTAGAACCAAAATGAAACAAGAGGCATAGTGTATGGACAAGGGGAGAGAACCTCACCCAGATCCAAATAATGCCCCACAGCAAGCAAAGGAAGCCTTTGCGGCAAGCCAGTAGCGTCCAGCGACCCAACCAGCAAACATAGGTCTGCAAACCAGCACTATAGCAGTACCCTTGCAAACCATATCATGTCAAGGACAGAGTCCAGCAAATCAAGCTGCAAAGAGCAGCACCCAATTCCAGCCAGCTTCAAGAAGCACAGCATACCAAGCTGCATATAGCAGCAACAAGCTAACTAACCTGCATAAAGAAGGAAAGCTAGCAGCATAATAAGCAGTCCCAGGACATACAGTCTAGAACCAATACCAGCCCCAAGAGGGCAACATCACAGCCCTACTTCAGCAGCAAAGATAGAGTAGAAAACCCAGCTGCAGCCTAAGAGGCACAGCAAACAAGCCCAACAATGAGGGGAGAGAGCCTCACCCAAACAGTTGGGATCCATGGCATGATAGAGAGGCAAGCCGAATCAGACCTTTGCAAGAAACCAGTAGCATCCAAGCTACGCAAGCTAGTAGCAGAAGCAAACAAAAACAGGGTACATCCTGCATAACACAGCAACAACACCTAAGAGGTGATCCAAGTTCATGTCCAGTAGCCAGTCTCAGAAGTAGCAAGCCACACAAGCACAAGACTTGCAAGTGCAAGCATCAAAACTCATCAACAACTTGCTATCAGCAAACCAGAGTCCAGCAAATCTCCAATCCTATATCAGCAACAACACCCACTAGGGGGTTCAAGGTCATGTCCAGCAGCCAACCATAAGAGCCAAGAGAACCCCAGCATCAAACAACAAGCCACTCAATGCACACAACCAAACAAAACCTCATATGCAGGGCAACAAGGAATCCCAACAAGCCAGGCCAAAGAAGCTCAACAGTCAACAGCTTGTGAAGAATTCAAATCACAGACCACCCAACACAAAAGCAGAGTAGCCTAATCAAATAATCCAACCAAAAGCAAAGCATGCTATGTACTAGCTGACCAGATAGCTATCAGCAAGTAGTATACACAGAGACAGCAAGCAAAGCAGACTCCACCAACTACAATCAGCAGGAACAGGAGGACGAGGGAACCAGACCCAACATTCCAATACAAGGTTCACACCACTGAAAGACTGTAGACCAACTAAGCATGCCCTTGGCTCTAGTAGACAAACATCATTGACAGCTAATTGCAAGACAGAAAGCAACAACAGCAAATGCTAACACTGAGAAAGACAGAGCAGAGAACCAGCAAGAAGACTGGATGCAGGACAGTCCATGGGCAATGAATGTTGGAAGATTTTGTGCATAATTAAATTAAAGAATAAAATCATACATAATTAAATTAAAGAATAAAATCATACATAATTAAATTAAAGAATAAAATCATACATAATTAAATTAAAGAATAAAATCATACATAATTAAATTAAAGAATAAAATCATACATAATTAAATTAAAGAATAAAATCATACATAATTAAATTAAAGAATAAAATCCTCACTTCCTGTTGCATGGCAGTTTTCTGATCCTTCATTCCTATTCATGCCCACAATAAGAAAATAAATGAAGAAAAGGGTTTTCTGTCCTTATTATAAATATACTAAAAAAAAACATTGCAGATTGCTGCCTTATTTTATTTTATTTTATTGGTTTCTTAATGGTATCGTGGGGCAATTGTTGTCCCAATTTTGACTTGTATGATAATCTTGACCAAAAATGGAATCCCCGGTGGCATAATTTTTTGAATCATCAACAAATTAAGAAAGCCAAACGATTTGACAATGCTGGTGCAGCAAAAGGGCCCTCACCAACCCCATCGTCTTTGTCATATTTGGACCAAAATGGGTTCGCTACGATTGGTGCTGCATAAAGTTAAATCTTGCTTTGTTCTGTATTTTCAAATTTTGTCATGGAGAGTTAGGAAGAGGATTATTGGGTCCTAAATCCTAATCTCATGCAATTATATGCTACAGTACCTTTATTTTGTAGAAAAAAACATACCAAGTTTGTAGAAAGAATTAATTACTGTGTTTTTTTTTATTAATCTTGAATATTAATATTTTGTATTGCAATGCATTTGCAGGTGTTCTGATGAGAAGAACCCAAGAAAACAAAAGTACAAGCTCACAAACCAGAAGATCAAAGATCTAGGCATCGAATTCGTCCCAGTGAAACAGTGCCTGTATGAAACTGTTAAGAGCTTGCAGGAAAAGGGTATCCTTCCAATCCTAAAACATGCTGAAGACTCTGTGAAAATTCAATAAGGGTTCATTTATTAGCAGGTTACAAGTCCACGCATCAAGTATTGTTGCAGTTGTTTGCAAAATACATACTAAAGAAAAGAATATACTAAAGAAGAATGTCAATGTCAATGTCAGAGTGCAGGTGTTACTGTCTTCTATATGTAAAGACCTCTAATTGTCTTCGTGCTTAGACTAATCCTTTTATAACGAATGTTTTAATCCCTAAATTAATCAATTAGTGGATGTAACATATGAGTGTTTCGCTTGTATTTTCTTCTTTTTGTTTTTGGTTGTTCTTGCTGTTTAAGTTTAATCCAATTTCAATATGGAATCAATACCATCTCTGTGGCTTCCCTTGTTTTGAGAATTGATTATCCATCATTATTCAAAATAAGGTCTAAAACTCGAATAAAGCTTATATAAATAATGATAGTTGCATGTACAGGTGATCAGAAGATAATTATCCTAATATAATTAATTAAGGATGTCAAATTCTCTTACTTTTATTCCCTTCCACAATCGCTAGGATGCTTTCTTGTGGAAGATGAATCTGAAGTCTAAATCAAGGCTGAGTAAAAACTGATAGGCTGTCTCATATCATGGGCCTCATCCAAAGCTCAGACAAAGGTGGTGGTACTCACTGGGAAACTATGATTTCTAGTTTGCGAATTATATTAGTTTCTTACAACTTTAACTGACATGCTCTTTGGTCAAAGGTATATATATATATATATATATAACATGCAGCAGCTCAAAAATAAATGAAATTAAATACAATAATAACTCTTAGAAACCCAAAAATGTTCATGTTTCAAAAGAAACTAATGATAGTATTGCACTCTCATTTCATAAATCAGACCCTCTCTCTGTTCAAAGAGAAGCTTCCGTTTTTTTTCTTCTGAAAATCCTTGTTATTTATCCGTCAATATTCTTTTATAATAAATTATAAAATAAAATATAAAGAACATATTTACTTGTGACTTAAAGCAATACATTTCGCTTAATGTTTTTATTTTTTATTTTACCGACACTGAAATTAAATAGAATTGCGTGATATAAATGCTTTTTTTTCTAAAGAGCCTTTTTAATACTAAGATGTTTTGCTTATCTATTCCATGCATTTATTATCTTTTAGAAGTTATTTGATCATTTTATAATATTTTGATAAAAAAAATCAACTTGTTTTTTATCAGTTAATGCACCAGAATTTTAATGGTGAGAATAACTAACAATCTTTTACATTTTAAGTTTATTTATTTTTATTTTTATTTTCTATTTTCTTCTTTTATTCATCTATTTATTTTAGTATAATTTGTTTTCACATTTGAAATTTTAAAAATATATTTGATTTGAAAAATTATTAAATTAATATTTTTCTCAATATTATTTATAATTTTGATATGCTAATGTGTGTGTGTATCATTCAATGCATTTTAAAGTTAAAAAAAAAATATAACCATTTAATATTATGATAGCAACTACTTTTTATAATATTTTAATTAAAAATATATTAAAATAATATTTTATTTATTTATTATAACTTATTTTTTATATTAAAACATCTAAAAATCCTAAAAACACTCTTAGAACAAAGAAAAAATTAAAATTAAAAAAAAAAAACTCAACTCATAACAAAACATACATAATGCTGTGTTGACGTGGTGAGGTCAAGAAATCCCCTCGTTGATTTGCCGATTTACCAAACATGTTGGCAGTCATCAACCCATGCATAAAAAATGTTGAACCCTACAAGATTATGCATGTTAAATCATAAATGTATCCAAAAATATGTCATGTATTTATTAGCCCAGTCTATAAATAAGTTCATCTAGAAAACAAATTATCCATTGCCACACTGAATTTTTTTTGCATTTCACTTTGTTCCACAGAAGAAGTTCTGCAAGAGTGGATGCGAGAAAGAAATGCGCAGTGACATGCTCTCTGAATATCTCAAGCTCAGGGTTTATTCAGCATAGCTGTTTGGTCCACAAAGATGTTCTGTCATCACATAACAACGCTAAGACAGAAGCAAATTGTGGATTAGAAAAGGAAATAGATTATAACCTCGTCTCTACTGTTATTTCAATCACTAGAAGTTAGTGACCTTGAGATATCACTTGCCCTATGATTTACAAATCATTTGCATTACTCCTCCTCTGAGGCAACTGCATGCATGCTATGTCTTCTCTAGGGAGACTGTACACTCCTGAATTACCAGACTCGTTGGCGATTCGTGGGTTTTCAGATGTCAGTGCTACAAGATGTGTAGCCTCCTTGTTTCTACGAAACACCAAGTATACAACCCCAGCCAAATACACTGCCATGCCCAAAAATCCAAACATTCCAAGAAAGATGGCAGCTACAAGCTTTAGATGGCCATGAACAATAATCTTGATGAAGCTAGATGCAAGGTAGTATATATTTATTGCCATCATGAGAAAACCAATGACCCAAGTAATACATGAAATCTGCAGAGGAGGATTGTATTAATTGACGATTAAAAATAAAATAAAATGGTATATATGCAGAATGAACACAACATATTACAAGCAAGGCATGCGAAGACAACTGTTTTATTGGATATTATAAATATTTCTTTGATGATCGTATTGAGATATTTTCAAGAGTAAACCGTGCTGAAGATAGTCATGGCATTCTGAACCCAAATTGAAATCTTCAAATTTAATGCTGAACAAAACTTAAGACAAACAATGTAAGCACTGATCAAGTAAAGGTGATACCGTAGTTGAGTTGGCATATATCCCCATCTTGGTTTTGCTACTTGTGAACTTGAGAAGTGGAATGAGAGCAAAAGGGAGCTCAAAAGATAGAATCATCTGCAATACAGCATGAAAAATGAGCTAGAAATGCAAAGAGACAACAGGAGTTTTTACCCTGATTTCTATTGGACTGGAAAACAACAGAATGAGATTACAAAAAGATTGCCTTTTTTCATTTACTAAAAGCTGGACTTAATGTTCACACAAGAAGGCATGATTTCCAGAGAACTGCCTTCGGTATGAAACAATGTGCATTATAACTAATGGCTCTCTCACACAAGATCGCATTAGATGGTAGAAATCAATCATAAAAACGGAGCCATTAAAATGAAAGACATCCTAAATGTCAGCCATGTTAAGATTTTATTTCTAGATAAAAATATAATTCACTGACATGATTGTGCATGATGTTATGATCTGAGACTTGTGAAGCATCACCTTCTCCCATTTAGTACAATGAGCAGGGAAATATATTTAAACCATATTTAAACCACCACAAAAGCAGTATTTTTATTGCACATCATCATCATAGAATATCATTACTTCCCAAAGAGAGAGAAAAAGGCAACATTCCGAAACATCACTGACTCGACAAGCGAAATTAAACACTGAAACTGCCACAAGTTTAAATTTGATGTTACTTTCTGCAATCGCTCTTGCTGTGTTTATATGCTGTCCACTGCACAGATATAGATCTGAGAAATAAATGAATGTATTGTTCTGAAAACATAGTATTTGTGTCAAACAGGTCATACCGATGCAATAATGATCAGCTTTCCAGCCCCGGCAGAGCCCCCAATGATTGCAACAATTAAACTAGGGACTATGGCTAAGCTTCGAGTTAGGAAGTTCCTTAACCATGGTGTCAATCGTAAATCAAGAAATCCCTGCAGGTGGTTGTGGTTGTTTGCAAAATACATCCTAGGGAAAAGAATTTAGTAAAGAAGAATGTAGAGTGCAAGTGTTACTGTCTTCTAAGACCTCTAATTGTCTTCGTGCTTACATTAATCAATATTTTAATCCCCTAATTAATCAATTATTGGATGTAACTTTTGAGTGTTCCACTTTTTTATTTTGAGCTCCAAGGTTGGTTTTTTACTTGTTTAGCAAAGTTGATCAATCAAATTTAGATAATTTGTCAGGTTAATTCATGATCTAGTTGATTCAGTCAAATCAGGTGAGACTCGATTAGGTGAATTGTTGCAATATTACGGTTATACAAGTTAATTATCCTAACTTAAATAAATAAGATAGTATAAAACAAGTAAGAGATTGATTTTATAACAAATATCTAATTCAAGTCTTTATACTAGGTGATTTAAATTTAAGGGGGTTTTGAGGTTATTTAGACTATACTATGGTAAACAAAACAAATTAATCTAGCTAAATTAAATAAATCCAAAATTTATCAAAAGAAAAATCTTGGTTTCAAGTAAACATCCACCTATGAATATCAAAACTGATTACTGAAATGATACGTTAATTTATATTATGAATATCTATCTTTTCTTAACATTAGTCACATAACCGATCCACAATGTAACTAATTCTAACCATTAAACAACCACAATATGTGCACTAATAATTTAAATCAATGGCAACCTTAAGAGCTAGATAGGTTGATAAATCTTAGACAACATAATTGTTTGTAACATATTGTTGAATGTTTCCTTTAATATTAATAATATAGATCTATCATAATTATTAAACTTAGTCGCTTCACAAGTTCAAATATCATAATTTTAGTTTTGAAAGCAAACTTAGCCATAGATTGGTTTAGAATAATCTTTAACAATCAAACTAAACAAACATAGAAAAAAAAAAAAAACTCATCATATAAACTGAAAAGAAAAGATAGAATAGATCTCATAGTTTTTTTTTTTTAAATCCGAAGGTTTTTGTATCCTTTTAATTAAGAAAAATTACTTAACCTTGCATGTCTATTGAAAAACTAATGAATAAAATATATGAGAACATAATTTTTAGTATAAGAGAAAAGAATGGGGTTTTCTTCTTCTTTCTGGGTGCCTCATCCTTTTCTTTCTCCCTTTCTTTTTATTTGATAGGAAATCCTAATCCCCAAATTCCTCCAATCCATTTTTACTCTCCTAAAAAAATATAAAAATAGTTCATTGCAAAGTAAACAATCTACATTTAAGTAAGTTGGAGTTATTTCTTCACAAAACCTGTATGTGGTAGAATTTATAGGTTGTCTTAGAAAAAATATCTCTCTCTTATGTGAGCTCTTTGAATAGGTTGAAATTTAGTAGGTTGATAACACGACCAAAAGATTGATATCTTATCCCAAATGCAGAAGTATCGAAGTAATAAATACCCCTACAAGACCAGGGTCAAATCACAGAGATATGAACTATATAAATTACAAATAATATATTTATTTAATAAAACAAAGAGTTTATAAGAATTTTATAGGATATTGATGTTAGGATTAAACAAGAATAAAATAATTATCAAGGTTAGAGGATCCACTAATGATATTTCAAATAAGTATAGTATAAACTCCTTTTATTACTTAACTAGAAACCACACACAAAAGAGGTTCCAATCGGATTATAAATTGTTAATATGATTACATTAGTTATCTTATTCAAATAATACTAATACTTGTAAATGTTGTTAGGTATTCATAATGCTAATTTATATTAACAGCAAATGAAGTTTTTTTTATAGCACAAGTGTCTATTAAACCATATAGTAGGCTATCAAAGGGTCAAACATCTATTATAATAAGGGTTACACAACATAAATCTAGATTAACCATTTAACAAGCAAAGTATTAGGATTGAATAAGATAACAAATACAAAACAAAGTAGTATGAAATATTAAAGTCAATGTTGAGTTTACACTATACTTATTCTTACACCATTAGTGTGACCTTTTCACCTTGACATAATAAACTTAACTAAACATAATGAAAGAGAAAAATATAAATAAACAAAATAAACAAGAGGAGAACATGATTATATATGTATATTAAAGGAAAGGAAAAACATAAATAAAAGATTAATAAAACTATAACATGAAATAAAACTATAACATTAAACTACAAAGAAAGAAAACATGTAAGGAAATGATCTTAATATGAAACCAAGATGCCTAAATGTATAGAAAATGCCTCCTTTTATAGGCTAAAATTTAGAACTATTCATTTGATAACTAATTATTGCATGGGTGACCATCTTTTTGACTTGGTGACAACCTTTATCTTCATGTCTAAATAAAATATCATTACTAACGTCAGAATTTGAATAGATAGTCTCACAAAAGTTCTGAAAAATTATCTCAGCTTTCCAACAAAAAAAGAATTGATGCATTTGAACTTCTAGAACTCGAGATATAAGCTGAAAACTGAACATTGTCTGGGTTGCAGGACAGATAACTGAACAATGTCTGGGTTGCAGGAAAGATTCTGACTTCTCCGTTGTTGCTACAATTTGAACTTGAAAACAACCTTTTTAAATCTTCGACTCCTATGAAAGTTTTAGGCATATGTCTTAGCTTTCCATCCATATAGAGCAGACTTGAATCCAAGTTCTGCATCTCTATTTATGATCCAATAACTGAATAGTATTCTAGTTTGAATTCAACCAGCATTTATTTTCTAAGTTTAGCCCTCTCTGTGTCTGCTTAATTTCCGTAGTTAAACTTATTAATCAATCCTTTGATTTATATGATAGACTTGTATTTAAGATGAATATTTACCATAAATTCAAGGTATCTTATATTATCAAACTTGTTATTATAAAACATGTTTTAGTTAAGGAGTTATTGATACTTCAAGTGCAAAATGATAATATAAAACCTTGATAAAAATATACTTTTAAGTACTAATCGATATTTCTTTGAGTCAGGAATCCAACAAAATTGAGTTTGTATCAAATAGACTTTTCTACCTCAAGATATTCAAGTTAGAATGGTCGAAGATCAAAACTAATATAATACAATACTTGTCTTTGAAGGTTGTGATTTCTAGCCTCTTTTTTTTTTCTTACCATATACATATAAAAAAGTTATGGATGTTAGCTTTCTAATGCCACTGGAATCACTTCATTTCGACCTCTACAACTCAAGTTCTGCATAACATATCGATCAGAGGTTAAATCTGCCAATATTCAACATGAGATGGAAGATGGTCAGAATTTTATCTCTAATTTACTCATTTGGAATTTCACATCCAAAAGTGCCTTTAAAACATAAAAAATATTATCAAGTACTTTATACATAAAACATGAACAAAATACTAGGTAAATATGGGTAAAATTATCGAATTGTTAGAGAATAATAGAAATCATATTCTAGGACCTCATTTAGTAACTTAACCTTTTAGGTTGAGATGGTTCTTTGACATGGTATCAAAGCCTTGATGACCAAGTGGTCACAAGTTTGAATTTCACTATCCCAATTTACTTGATAAAAATTAAGCACAAGATAGTGTGAGTATATGCAAGTTTCAAGCCCAAATAGCTTTCACTTGAGGGGGTATGTTAAAGAATAATATAAATCATATCTTGGAACCTCATCTAATAGTTGAAGCTTTTAAGATGAGATGGTTCTTTGATAGTGGGTTTGTATCTAAGTTAGCAAAAGGGAAAGACCCTTTATCGAATATCTAAGTTAGTGACACGACTAAAAGATTGATGAAGATCACATGTCTTGAAAAAAATATCTTGCCAATGGATGTATCAAGACATTTGAATCCTCAATGAGAGTTACTATAATCAAGGATGACATAATGTTTAGATCTGAAGTCAAGTTTATTACGATTGAATGGGTGAAGAAAAGGAAAACAAGCACACCAAAAAATTTTAGAGATGAAAAATCAGGAGCATGTTTGTAGAGTTTTTCAAATGGTGAAAAGCCGAGAGGGGTGGTGGGAAGGAAATTAATGAGATATGTGGCCATGAGAAAAGCGTTATCGCAATATGTGTGAGGAACATGACAATGGGATAAGAGTAAGAGGCTAATTTCAACGATGTGACAGTGTTTCCATTCAACGAATCCATTTTGTTAAGACATATAGGGGCATGAGATTCGGTGTTGAGTTTCAATGTTTGCAAACTATGTGCGAAGAGAGCGATACTTCCCATCTCAATCAGTTTGTACAAATTTTATCTTACAATTAAATTGGCATTCAACAAGTTTTTGAAATGAGTAGAAAATTTGCATGACATTGGATTTGTTACCGATTAGAAATAACCATGTAAATTTGCTGAAATAATTAACAAACAAAACATAGTATTTATTGCCATTGGTTGACATGTTAGGAGATGGATCCCAAACATGAGAGAAAATTAATTCAAGAGGATGATTAGAGATTGATTGAGAACTAGAAAAAGGAAGGCAATAACTCTTTCCTTGTTGATAAGCCGAACAAATACTCAAAATTTTATTAGACAAAGTAGTAAAGAAAATTTGAAAACAAGATGCCAGATAATTTGATAAAAAGGATGTCCTATCAGGCAATGCCAAACATTAGGAAGTGCTCGTTGATATAGCTATGTTTGAGGATGGTTTATTGGTGACATGAAGGTTAGAAAGATGTGGAGGTTGTTTTTAGGTTTGTCGTGCAAAAGAACTCTCTTCGTTGCGTCATCCTTCACTAAAAAAAACAAAGAGTGAAATTCAAGTAAACATTATTATTACTCATAAATTGGCTAACTGAAATCAAATTCTTCTTAATCTAAGGTATATGCAGTAACTTATTTAAAATAAAAGAATTTGTTGGGGTTGAAAGAATGGTGGAACCAATATTTTTTATAGGTAAACCTACCTTGTTGTCGACATGAATCTATTTATTGCTAAGATAAGGTTCTGATCGCACATACAAGTTGTTGAAGTTATTGGTATGGTGGTTTATTGAACCAATATCTAGATACCAGTTGGTATCATGTTGTGGTG